TGCTCTTCTAAAAGTGAACATTTCGCTACCTGAAGGGTCCGGAGAAGAAATTGGTGTGCTTAAATTCGGCGCCTTAAAGCATCTCACACATCCTCAATCGGGTTCAAGTCGGATGAGTAAGATGGCTAGTCCATTATAGTGATATCTTCTGCTTACAAGTATTCTGACATCGCATATTCTCAATGAGACCGAGTATTGTTATCCATTAGCAAAACCTCTGGGGAAACAGCTTACCTAAACAATCTAACTTGGGGTTCCAATACCTCGTCCACATATCACAAAGCCTCCTTGAAGGATATGCACGTCGGGGCGGCCATGACGCCTCTCTAAACCATTAAATCGTGGTCGCGGAAATGGGATATTTCACGCACAAGGAAAGGCAAGTTGCGTGTTCCTTACCCTCTCTAGATCAAAACACGTCTACAATCATTGTTTCTAGACTCATTAGTAAACAATACCCGGTCCCAATCGTCTTTTCTGCACTGAACATGACGACGGCACCAGTATAAATGGTCCCCTCCGGAAGCTGGAGTGAATGGGATACAAATCATTGGTTTTCTTTCATACAGTTCAACCTCATTAAGCTTTGCAACAGTAGAACAACTAATTCGAGTTTATGTGGCAGCCTCAAAGTTTGAAACCAAATCTCTTATAGTCGCTATGCAGTTCCTTCGAGCCGACAATGACAGTAAACGGTGTTCGGATGGAGGTGCTATTCTTGGTCGCTCTTTACCAGGCTGTCTATCAACTGATCCAGTGCTTAAAAAGCCGCTCCAAACTCTTGACATGATACTTTGAGGGATATTCAAATAAATCTTGGGCGACCTCCATTTATTTTTGAACTCCCTCGATTCTACCAATAATTCTGCACCTCTGATCTTCACTTATATGATACCTTTGAGCCGTAACTACTGAATATTTATCACTCTCAGAAACCGCATTCTATCTAAATAACACTATAGACAAGAATTCCAACATGCGTCAATTGCGCGCCACATCGTCAATCACCGATTTTATATATTTCCGGCGCTAAGGTATGCGCGGAAAGGCAATTTTGTGTTCAGTTGTATTTAATTAGTATAAATAATTACATCAGTGGACATTCGTTGCAACATCAACTTAGTGGGCATATTTTTCTCGTTATCCCTTAATTTGATTACCAGTGTATACATGCATATGTGCTTGCATGTAGAAAGAGAAACGTTTTCAATAAAAATCATTTGTAAGTATCGGAATATTCGAGTCTGATGTAAAATCAAAAGTTATAAATATTATTTTGCTTTTCAGCATCCTTAACAAAAATGTGTAAGGTAATATCTGCGCCTGTTGTCATGTAAATGCCACGTGGGAAATTGACCTCGCAATAAAGTTACGCACTGGACTGATTCTAATGGTGACGGAGGTTTGGCGTTCTATTACACACAGATGCTAAAACAATAGTTTTACACATCGCACATAAAGATTTAGAAGAGATCTAGCGTCTCTCCCCCCACTGGAAAATGACTAACGGTTGTTATTACTGGGTGGGTTAACTATTGGTCTATATCTTTTCCTCTTCGTAAGTAAAGGTCCCCAGCTGCATTGATCTCCTTTCTTTACACAGTTGGCGGCTTCCTCTCCTTCTTTTTCTTTGCAGCTCCTGCTTATCAAACCTTTCATTTCACAGCCACCAAGATATTTCATTCCTTTTTAATTTACGTTTAAATACTGAATCTTTTTACAACTCCTCGATCTGACGTCTCACAACTGTATCTTCTTTTATTTTAGTTTCACTGATTTTTAGAAATTTGTTCTTGAGAACAGAAATGCAACCCCGTTACGATCATTTTCTTTCATAAAATTCTTACACAGTTATTACTATTTTTAAATATAATAAGGGCAACAACATATTTGTAAATCTAAGAAATGTCTGGTGAACGAATTTTTCTGTCCCGTAATGACTTCTTTGTAATTCTTTTTTTTTCCGAGACTTTTTGTTCGGCCTGTACCTCTTTATACAGTATTTTCAACAGTTCCATATGCCTAAGAAGAAGTGTACTTTAGAATATCCTAATTACCTACTCAACGTTAGCACTTTCTTATTTCCACGCATTTTCTAAGAACACTTTTCATAATGGAGAGGAGAACATGGATCATTTCATGTGATTTTTCATGTTAGCTTCCTACATGGGTTATAGTAACTGATGAGTATTCTTTCCCGATCATGAAGCAGCACTACTTCAAGTTTGTTTCTGAAGAAGAGACAAGGATATTGCATTTTTTTCTACACTCAATCTGTGATTTTGCCCCCCAAGTGCCCATCCTTATGTCGTTCCTCTATTTGATTTATGCAAATGACTTCCTAAAATTTAAAGACGAACCCAACATTATGATTATGTGTTATACTTATGACACTTCCATTTATAACTGCCATTATTAACAGTTCGAGTAGGATGCATCATGCTCTTGAAAGGATCCAGGACAAGATTCTGGATATGGAGGAATGGTACCTGAAATGGTAGATGGAAATCAATCCCCAAAAAATCCCAAATCTTAGTTATCAAATAGTAGTATAAAGTTCAAGATAAACTGAACTGTAAAATGACTCTCTTCCGAAAGCAAGTCCCACTTGTACTTTCGGCTAAATACTTAGGAGTTTTGTTCAATAGATCATGCATTTTGTTTGCGCACATTAACAGTGTACGTAGAAAGTCACATGGTATCTATCATTTTCATTTTCCATTACTCTCAAGTGACTCAGGACTCAATCTTTTCCGGAAATTACGTCTTTATAAGGATATTACCCATCCGATCTTTTTTTAAGTGTCACCAGTTCATTTTCTTTCGCACTTGGGCAAGTGTAAAAGGAAAAGCAAGTTCTGTAAAAGAAGTTGTAGCGGATTATCACTGGTGCGCTTTACTTCAAACGAAATAAAGATTTGCACCATGTTTTGAAAGCTGACACAATAAACGAATACCTAAACAAGCTTAATGTGAAATTCTACAACAACTTCGATGCACTTCTAAATTATGAAATCTTAGAGAACGATTTTCTTCATTCGTCCGTACGCTGCACATCTTCTACGGCAAGAAGAATTAATCATCTGACATGTGGTTTTATCCCAGATCTACACTTAGCCGAACTATGTGTTCTTCTTTTCGAAATCCAAGATGTCGTACGAAGGACATATTTCATGCACCATTCATTTTCGGGCTCCGTAAGGAACTCTGTAATTGCTTTGAGAATTAATGCTTAAGATGTAGAGCTCCAGAACAACATTGAAGTGTCACAGTATCGCTTTTTCATTTAGACATTGGAGAGTTTGGCTAGGTATAGGAAGCTGAAACCATGAGATATCGGTCTACTTTTTGATGGCAAAAGGAATATACAACTATATTTCTAGACACTGAGGATTTTCTAGATATATAAATGAATCAAAAGTAGCATTCTCTTAAATTATTCTTAGGTTTCCTCTCTTCAAAGAAAAAGGAATGCAATGAATTACAATCATCTCTCCCACAGAAGACTTGAACATGAAGCTCAACAAATATTAGGTATGCGTTCCTGGTTCTGCTACAGTTTTCAATCAAAATATAACTCATAAGCTTTTAAAGAAAACGCAATAATATTTTATTTCGGTTCTACTATGCAACAGAAATCGTTTGGGTGATTTTGCATAATTACGAGGCGTTTGCTGTCCTATAAAGCAAAGAATATGTATTTTTACGTGAGTGATGTCTCTGATGCTGGAGAGGAATGCTATCAAATCACTCATACAAAACTCGTGTCAAGAAAACTAAACTAACTCCGGAAATAATGTTTCTTTATTTTTCTAGTTGTGTCGAGAGGAATATATAGTTTGGCGCAAATTCGGTTACTTAAGAGGTGAATACGCGAAGTTTGTCGATAACGCTGGATAACCATAATATAGAGATTAGGAAGTAATTAGATTTTGGTAAAGCATATGAGAGCTATTGCTTAAATGAAAGGAAACCTTCGTGGATGTTTCTTAGGCAAACTCGCTCCTTTTCGCTTTAGACATTGTAGAAACTCGAAATTTTGCACATAACCAGCCTCTTCACCTGCATTTGACTCCAGTTCGAATTGTCAGTATGCAGTTGCCTTATCGCTTGGCAGATGGTACGCCCGTTAATGTTGGAAAAGCAACTGATCGCATGCTTGAATTTAGAAATAAAATAAAACAGAGAACAACCTTTGTAACAACAAGCAGAACATTTATTAACATAACAATAAAGTAACGGGGTGTAACAAAAGAAACCCAAAGGAGTGGTAGTCCGCAGCTTTGAGTGACCTACAGTAAAGCCAATGCTGGGCTCTCTAGAACAGCCGCAACACAGCCACAACAGCATGGCTATTTTTAGTAACGCCATTAACGAGAAACCTAAATACCGCTGCCAAGCGGCAGTCCATTCTCAGGTACAAAACCCATTCTCAGGTGCACTCTCCAAGCAACAATAATGGTAAATAAGATGAAAAGCAATTTCCCATTGCAAAACAATTGAGGTCGAGCCGTCTCGGTCGGTATAAAGGTTAGTAAGACGTATTGCTCTATCGTTGAGCAACATGCTTCAACTGTAACTAATAAGTAAATACCTGAATTACCTCCGCATACTGATAAGATGAATGTTCGAATGCATTCAACATGTGTAACGTGAATATAAGCCAGCTTCCTTTAGAAAATCCTCTCCAAAAACATCTCCGCCCTTAGGTAGATAGCTCTTCTGGTCTTTGCCGTATTCAAATAACCTAAACCTAACAAAATACATACAGCTTACCAGCTTATATATTTATTCTCAAAATTCTGTAACTTTTTAAACAAACATATGAAAAGTATTATTTCTAGTTATATTTAAGTAAATCTCTAGAAATTTGATAAAAGAATAACGCAGAAGAATAACGTTCATTACCTGCAAAATAATAAATTTTTATCTCCATCGTTTCTTTAAACGTGTTTTCAAGCACTTACACAAATTTAGAAACTGCAAAAACTTACTGCAGAAAACAGCAAACTAATTTTATTTTTTATTTTTTGAACTTCACGAAGTCACACAATAGAAAAACATAAAAAATGCATGTTATAAAAAAAGAAGAAACATTTTATACAGTTAACTGCATTATATCCAATGTGATATGTTTTCCAAAACACTGATAAATAGAAATTTTTATGCTCAATTACAATGCACAGACCAATAAGCAATGTTGAAAAACAAAAAGCAAACTGGATATAAAATTCTGCAAATCTTGTCAATGCGGATGGATAGTTTGGCTTCATTAGTCAATCGGTTAGTCAAAAAATTAACAACAGAATTCACATCATCTGTATTTCCTGCAGCTTTCTGAAAAATAAATATTAAAATAAGTGTTATATATGTTAATATGTGAGAATAAAAAACAGAAAAACCATATTAAGGCTCCAATCGAATGCTTACCAGTTTACAACAAGAACTATGTTTTATAACCTAAGGCTGAAAAAATGTACTACCATTCGTCATATGTGTTTGAATAATGCATACTTACTATTTTCAGAACCTAAACTATACATCATTGTTCTCTTTTTTAAGTAGGGAACGTTTATATATATTGTAATTTTCTGGTACTTTCTAGTGAACTACCTACCTAAGCACTAGAAGCATCATTATGACAATTCTGTCCGTACTTTTAGCATGGTTAATTTAAATTTTCAACTATTCGGAAAATATTACGATCATATACACTTTAAATTCCAGTCATCTGACATTCGCAGCCTTCAAAACGCTTCATTAGAAAAAATGAAAACGTAAAGCAAGTGGAACTTATACATGTATGAAAAGGAAAATCACGATCTCCAGTTACTTTTTCTAATTTTGAAGAATAATAAACAAATAAAAAAATCTGTCTCACTCGCTGTGCAACCGATTATTGTGCATTCAATTACTATATAATTTAGAAGCATTTTCTATGAATTACACTGATAGTGTAGATGCTCATGCAAATCATCAATTGAACGTATTGGAAGTTGCACCAATCAGATATGCTGCTAAAGAATGAAATAAAGTTATAAATTAGTAAGAAATGCATTAGTTGTTTTTGATTTATTATGACTACACGTATCAAGTCGTCAAAATCAGAAATATTATGTCTAATGGCAATAATCTATGATTTGCCAAGCCTCGTTGGAAATAGCTTACATATGTTTCTTAGATTGGGAATGCCCACCAGCGGCCGAGCGGTAAAGTCGCTGAACACTGGTAGTTCGGTCCGAGGTTCGAATCCCGCGAACGGGCTGGCTGCATGGGCGTTTTCGTGGTTTTCCCCATGTGTAACGTGTATACGAGCCAGTTTCCCTTAGAAAGTCCCTCCACGAAAGGCATCCCTCCCCTTAGGCAGATAGCCCTAGTGTGCTTTGCCATAATTGAATACACCAGAATACACCTTAGATTGGGAACACTTGCTAAGCCGCCTTGGCGGTGATTTGGTTTTATCATGAGAAAGCACGCTGTGGGTGCGAAGTATATTATTTTTACTGATAGTTATTTTTATTTGTTAACCTTTCCTGTCTTTTCGGATTTCTCTCGCGTTTTCTCGCCAGGATGTAATTTAATCAGCGTGAATGAGATTAATCAGCGTGAATGCGAGAGTATTTAAACTGAAGTAGCGAAAGAGTGTGTCTGAACCTGGTATCTCCATTGAAAGCGCAGGAAGTTAATTCTACCCAGCTGTTTGAATTATGAATCTCGGCTTCCTATTCTTGCCGCCGAAACTAGTAGATCGCCGGTGTAGATTTCCGAGTCAACCTGCTCGGGTTAGGTAGAACTGTGTAGTCTTTCACTTCTATTTACCTTTGAATTTAGTTGTTTTAAGTTCCTAATACAAGTGGTAGGGGACTGTGGAAGCACGTAAGTTCGCGCCGTCGAATTATTGTGTTCAATAAAATGGTCTTTAACACCTTTCCCCTGTTGTATTCATCTTCGAATCTTTGTGAAAAGTCGCAACATAGACTTCAATTAGATCTAGTTACAGAGTATGTTAGCAAAGAAAACTAGATCCCACAAGGGTTTCTGCCTAAAGTGGAGTTACGCTTTCGTGGAGGACCTTCAAAAAACTGAAAGGCTGAGCTATAGTTCTTTCTCGGAAATAGACGAAAAGTTCCACTCTTACGCTTTTCAGCCTTGCTGTTAGATAGTTTACCATTAATTTCAGCTGATTAAAAAAAAGCACTAAATTTTCTTGCTGTTTGATTTTCGAAAATATGTCGTATTTCAAATGGAGCCATCAGTGTTGACTTATCGAGAGAGAATTACAGCGTGTTTTTGATATTATTGCTTCTACTTTAATTATGTAATGTTTGTGAGAATGTGAGATATAACCTTCTTTGCTATTATACAGTTAGTATGATCTTACTAGTAAACCTGGCGACTTCTCGCACAGGCGTGAAAGTTAGCAGCACAGAAGAAGAGTAAAATACACTCTTTATTATTCATCAAACTCTTAATAAAAATGCACGTACTTCGAGCTCACGATAACACCGATTACTTGCGATGGGAACTTAGGAATAATTTAACAATAAATTTAAATAATAAAGAGTAGTGCTAGACTACTTAAGACTAACAGGCTGACTCAGCAACCTACACCCGTGATAGGCTTTAACTAAATGGCCGGAGGGCCCACCAGCGGCCGAGCGGTAAAGTCGCTGAACACTGGTAGTTTGGTCCGAGGTTCGAATCCCGCGAACGGGCTGGCTGCATGGGCGTTTTCGTGGTTTTCCCTATGTGTAACGTGTATACGAGCCAGTTTCCCTTAGAGAGTCCTCCACGAAGACATCCCTCCCCTTAGGCAGATAGCCCTCGAAGCTTTGCCATAATCTCACACACACACACACACACTAAATGGCCAGAAGGCGTATCAGCAATTCGGAGTAACAGCAGAAAGGACAAGTAACAATGAACACTAGGCTAGCGAAATCACGCTCTGACAAACTTTCTCTTTTCTCCCTTTTAAATACTATTTTCACTTTACATTAAATTGCATCCTGGCTAGGAAATGCGAGGGGAAGTTGAGGAGTTCAGAAAAGATAAGTAAAAGTAGTGGTTATTCATATTAAGGGAAACCCCTACAAGAGGTCCTAAATTGTATGTCGTGTTTTTAAAGTTCTGGCATCTTTTACGTAACTTCAGACATTCCACAATATGTGCTAAGTAAAATACACAGATAATGCTTATGAAATATGAATAATAAAACAGCAAAAGTTAAAAGCATTTAAATATAAATTCACTTTAATAAAAATTGAATTCATACTTTTGCTTTTAAGTTAAGCTCAGGAGATATTTCAGGATCTTTCACGAATTTCCTTTCTGCAGACTTCTCTTCTTTTTGTGAGATTAGGCTGACTGCTATCAACTCCAAGAAAGCTGCAAACACAAGAGATTCACATACTGCTATCCAAACGTCACTGCCTTTCGTATAAGGAGCAGGTGGGATATAATCATTCACTTCAGAACCAAGTGTTACCATAAAATAAAGGATGACAAGCAGGAGTGTTAATCTCATGGTCATCGCTTTAGGTTTTATCCAGAAAGACAGCCAGGCCAGAAGAACCAAGATGATAAAAGGAATGTACAGTCTTGTTACAAAAAAACCTAATTTTCGCTGGAAGGTTAGATTCACCTGAAGAGAGGAGTATTCACCTGTGAAATAAAATTAGTAAGTAATTTAAATAATTTTAATGTAAAAATTCGCTGACAATTCATGATATGCAAAATATAACAGATCCATACATTTCTATGACTGGTACGCAAAAAACAGGCTGAACATCCCAGCGTGATCTCGCGTTCTTTTAGAAAATGCCTAGAAAATAGCACTTTTAATTCCATGTCTTATTAACATATGTGTTTATTAATTTTCAAGACTGGTGTTAAAGAATTTGTCTTCCAAATCTCTAATTAAATGTCAATCTGAGCCCTTAGAACATTTGTTCTTCTTATGGTTTTATGTATAGCAAACTAATTCAACACTAAAGTAATTCGATAAAATAACGTCAATATGTGTACAGTTTGGTTGCTTGCAAAGCGTGCAATAATATTTGCATTTGATTTCAAAGTTACTAATAGTTAAAAGTACACATTTCTATTATTCAATATTAAAACTGCTTCGGAAATTCAGTTTTCTTCTAATAAACTGCTTATTTCATAGAAGTGAAATTTTGGTTAATAGGTTTGTTTAACTTAAATACAAATCATAATAGATAGAGAATTCATTTTCGGTCTTAATGAAAGGTTTCAAAATTACTAAAAAGTAAGAAAACAATTTTATTAAGCAAATTCAACATTTGCATCACGCATGACTTTTTTCTTCCAACTTAGTTGTACAAAGAAAGATCTAAATTTATAACAAATCCAAGTTTATAACAAATAAATCCAAATTTATAACAGTTCAAACTTATAACAGTATCCAAATTTATAACAGTGCAAATAATCTATGAAAATAATGTGCCAATAAGATCCGCAAAACCCTTCTGTGATATAAATTGGTGGCATAAAGAATTACGAATTCAGAAGCACATGACGAGAGCCTTAAACCAGAAAATGAAATCAATTACTGACGATAAACTTAGACATCAAGTAATTAATTTTAAAACCAAAATGATGATTCTCGAAGCTAAATTAAAAAGCTCGCATAATTATTTTTCAAATAATAAAGAAATTTATAGCACCTTATATAAGATTGCCAGTATCAAAATATTTACACCTTCTCAAATCCAATTTCCTTCAAATTTGCTTTTCATTTCTGCTGACATTCAGGACGCCACTCTCTCAATCCCAAATAAAAATCTTCCTAAAGGATGATCCAGCTGAAGATTCAACTTCTCCAAATATAATCCACAAATTCAATAAGATTCCGCAAACAAATACTGATATCCCATTCACAAAACAAGAAATAAAGCATATAATTAAAACCCTGGCTCTGAAAAAGGCACCAAGCCTAGATGAGCTCGATAACCATATTATGAAATTAAACAATCAAGCTCATTCTGACGTAATCTGTAATTTTTGCAGTTGCTGTCTATAATTCTCAACTTTTTCTGTTTATCTGAAAATTGGAAATATCATACTTTTCAATAAGAAGAAAAACACAGATGAACACGAATATTATCGTCCGATAAATCTTCTCCCAGTCTTTGGAAAGGGTTTGGAGGGAACTCTCATTGGAACATCTCATAAAATTTCTTGTTTACAGCAAAACCTTAATAAGTAATAACCAGTATGGATTCCGAAGCTTACTTTCAACAAGTCATGAAATTAATTCATTTCTTCAATAAGTCAACAACAATAAAATCAATTAGCTTTATTCTGCATTAAAAGTATGTCTTGCCTTAAAACTAGCCTTTGGTTCTTTACGGTGGCCAACAGTTATACAATCTCTGAGTTAATTTAAATGCCCTCAAAATTTGTTCCTAATTATTCAAGATTATTTAAGAAACAGTAAAAGTATGATATTTTACAACACTTACTGAAAATGCACGTAATCAATTCAGAGAATATCCCCAAGGCTCTTGCATGATTAAAGATCTCTGGAATATTAGTGTCTTTCCATGACTAAGCCACACAACAATTTTTCCAGTCACAGAAGCTATTGTTTTTGTTACAGACGATCGCACCAGAGATATTTTACAGGATAGTTATAACGAAGCACAATTGCAATGAAGACATTTTACCAACTTCACAATATTAAAGAACTGCAAGCCTCATATGATGAGTCTGAAATCATAGTAATATCCATAAACCGGGATAAAACATATCCAAAGTTTTAGCTCTTAAAAACTGTTAATCCAGAGTTCAAGTCTGTGAATACAATCAAGTGCCTTGGATTAACAATCAACAATAAATTCTCCGAGATTCTTTATCTAAAAATACAAACTTCACACAGCTTCACTAGCTAATAACTGCCCACGACGTATACATGGATATAACAGAGACTTAAATCCCCAGTTAACACGGATTCTTCTAAAAACAGTTATATCAAGAATGTTAAATTACGGAGTCGGAATTTGGGCGCAGCCAATGACTCTGTGGACGATTATGTGTTTAAATTCAATTCAAAGGTTACTCTTTTATTACTCGAGCGTATTACACAACTTCAAATTTAACAGCCAAATCTTTCTGCCATATGAAAAGGAAAATAATCCCAGTCTTATTCAACCAACGCTTCGCTCCAACAAAATTAAATTCCCTTTGTCTGATTAAACTTTAGGTTGTTTGTCTCCAACTGCATTTACAGATGGACCAAAAATTGAAGAAAACGTAAATTAAGCAGTCTATTTTCTAATTTTCGCTTCAAATATCATCACATGGAAAGGTCATCTCCTTAATGATAATAGTATATTTTCCACACTGAATTGTCAGCCATAAAAGCAATAACTGAAGTAGCCATTCTCAAAAATCTAAACGAATTTACCATAAAATTTGACTCGTCAAAAAATGAAGGGGAGCCTATGGCTATACGTTCTGGAGAATTTATATTTTGCAATTGAAGTGCTGAAAATTTTTTAAATTTTAAAGGTTAATACAAGTTTACAGTAATAAGTATAAGGGAATTCGGAAGATTGTCAAGATATATTAAAAATTGAAACAATGATTTATAAAATAACTCAAACAAGAACCTTTGAAAGATAAAATAAAAGAAACGGAAAGCTGCATAACCGTCGTTGCAACATGATTTCGGTGAAATAAAAAGTTAAATAATGAGAAGAAAATATATAGACAGAATTTTGTAAAAAGTTAAAAAATTAGAAGAAAATATATAGCTAGACTTTTTTAAAAAGTTAAAAAAATGAGAAGAAAATGTAGCTAAAATTTTTTTCGCTTTTCACGTTTTTCTCAAAACGAGATTTTTCAAAATTTAGATAGATTTTTCTAAAATTCTATCCATAAAACAAACCTTAAATTTTATTTCATATTGCTACTTCCCTAAATGTATTGAGTGAACCAATTTAAATTCATCTCCAAGAAGAAACGAATTACCGAGACCCAGAATTTGCTAAAAAATATGCTACATTTTTCTCCCAAGAATCGAAATTCCTTCGAATTAAAAACTTTTTCCCAAATTTTTACCTTTTCTTATTAGAGTAAATATAGGTTCACTTAAATTTCTGAACATATCTGCAAATATCAATGAAAATTCGAAGTGATTCTATGCATAAGAAAACTTTATAAGGTGTTTTCTCCCTCCTCTCCGCATGCCTTCGTGGTGTAACTAGAAGTACGCTCGACGTGTATTCGGAAAGTCAAGAGTTCGTATCACGGCGACTGCAGTGAGGATTTCTTCCGTTTCCTGACTTCGAAAAAATTTATGAATGACTTTACAAGTGGCGCGCGATCTAACAACGTGTAGAGGATAAATCGTCGCCTCTTTTCCTTGAGAAAACAAGCCTTGGTGGTGTAAATGGAAGCACGCGCGACGTATTCGGGAGATCCGAAGTTCGAATCCTGGCGAGAGAACTGCACATTTTGCATGTTCTAACATCGATATAACGTGATGATTCTACAAACTTTCATGTGTGCTTAAGGGCGATCATATGTCTGAAAGCTGTCATATTTTAGCTGTGATATATAAAGCTGTCATTACCTGTCAAGATTGTTCCCAAAAATGTTAGATTGAGAATAAAAATTATAATTTTACTTTAACATAATATTAATAATGTGTAGTTTCTATAAATAAATATTTTGAATCTGCAATGAGTTTTGCTAAAAATATGGATATTATTAAGGGAAAATTTCACTTTTTGTTCTCTGCCAAAAAGGTCTTATTCCCCTTAAAATCTGGACAAATAGTGTATTTCGCTAAGCTTTGACTAATTCATAACGATGTCGATTCAGTATCAATATCAATGTTGGCTTTTTTTTTTCAGGGAGGGGTAAGCAATATTTTTTTCAAACGACTTGATAGTGCAAAATCCGTTATGTCTGACCCTTCTGGAAATAATGAGCTTTGCACAAGCTAATAAAAACGCTCTACTCATGATGTGTGTTTTTCAGTCTGGCCTTTGCAAACTACTATTAAAGTTCTTTGATATCAGTTACCTTTCTTTCTCTTTTTCATGTTCTTTCGAGATTAGGATTAATCATCCAAACTCAGTCTTTAAGAATTTTACTGTTTTTGTTAGTTGCAGAAGTTTGAAGGAAATCGCATTTTTCAACAAATTTAAATTTTCAAATAATGAAAGTTTTTCTTTGTGGTATAACGCATCCATTGGTGAAACTAACATTATAACTAAAGCACTACCAATTTTCTGTGAGCACATGGTGAAAGACGCCACCGCTTATCTTTTACAACAAAAGAATACAACTCAGTTATCTCTTAAGCCCTTGTTTTATACATCTTTTATATCTCCTGCATCTCTCATTTTTCCCCTTTTTTCTCAAGCCTTTTTAACAAGAAATTGTCTATGATTTACGAAGACCAATTAGAGTTTGCAAAGTAATCATCTTCTTCTGTGATATGTTGCCAAAAAAGACTATAACCAAAGAATCTCGAGTAAAACGACTATTTTTTCCTTTACTACGAAATGAACTACGAAATAAACACATTTTAGGCAGGTAATCAATTCTTTGAAGTGAAAATCATGATTCTTCAATGTGAATATTTTAACATGCTAAAACAGAGTTTCTTTTCGTTCTGGTGTTAAGACTTTTATAGGTGACTCATTCCTGCAATTACTGATTCTTAAAATAATAGCTACTCTGTTATAAATTACTTAAATTCTGTATACATGGTAGCCTTCATTTTGAGAAGACATAGGGAAAAAGCCCGGAAGATCAGTGAGGTATACCTATTTCGAAAGCAAGCTGATTAATATAAAGCAGCCTGGATATTAAATTAGTATAAATTTGCAATTTTTAGGCCCAGTTGTCGAATATTCTGTCTAGGTATAATATATCAGTTCTGTCTGTGTAAAAATAGCAGTTTTTGACACTTTTTTTCTTTTAATTATAACTTTTGGTTTGGACTGGCAATAAAAGGAAAACTTCCAGATTGTTAAGAATAACTTCTTGTTACGAAAACGTAGACCCGAATATAAACATGAGGTTTTTAGCAAAATAACTCTAATAATACACATTTTAGTTTTACATGGAACTATAGTTAAACCAAAATAATTTTAAAATAAACTGACATACTAAAAACCTGTTTCGATGTTGAAGAAGTAAAATTAAATATTAAATTTTAATTTATAATAATCTATTCTGTCGTACTTGCTCGTTTCATTGAAACACATATTACACAGGTAAATTTTGGACTACATAAAACAGGTTCGAAAGGAAGTAGCATTGATTTTTTTTAACTACGGGACTTTGTAGTCACCCTTTAGAGCTGAGTAAAGTCTGACTTGAGAGGTGTTTACTGTCAAATCAGGCCAATTACAATAAAATAATAGCCAATAACTAAGAGAAAAAGACAGAGAGAAACTGCTTGAAGTAAATCAATGCAATTATTACGTTATTTAGAAATACGATTATAGCCCAGTTGGCGATATTACTTACCGTGAAGGGGACTCATACACCTTAAACCCCTCATGATCTTCGAATATGTGACTGTTGCAAGAATTGGGATATTTTATTTATTTTAAAAGCAATTACTTCCAACTTTTTACAGCTGACTACATAATATAGCTGCTTTAGAAACTAGTAACTAGAAAGTGTGTGTTGCCACAAATAGTTTTGTAATTTAATCCGCTTTGTGACAAAAGTTTTCGCCATGTTTTCACCTTGCGCGCATATTTTAAAAATGGTTAATGGTACATACTTGAAATTAGATGGAATTCTTTATATGGGCACTATTTTTTAACTGAACCAACAATCTGATGAATATTTTAATATTGAAAAATTTTATGGATGAAACCATTACAATTTTGTTAATAAAAGACCTTTTTAAAATTCAACTCAAATAAAATAAAAATTTAACATGAATTTTTAGAATTTTAGGTTCACAGTAGTTCCCAATGTTATAAAAGCTATATTTAATAGGAATTAAATTATGAAACAGATATTTTAAAAACTGTGCGCGCAAGTTGAAATATACGAAAAATGTTGTCACAAAGCGGATTAAATTATAAAAATTTTGTGGCAACACAAACTTTCTGATTACTATTTTAGAAAGCAGCTATATTATGTAGTCGGCTGTAAAAAGTTGGTAGTAATTGCTTTTAAAATAAATATGTTATCTCAATTCTTGCAACAGTCACCTATTCGAACATCTAAATGGGTTTTAAGGTGTACGAGTCCTCTTACCACCAGTTTGTTTTTGTTTTTTTTTTATATTTTTTTTAGATAAGAGTTTTCTGGTAATTTGTATATTTTTCGCTGACTGCAAACTTCAGTAGTTTCTGTATGCAATTACTTTTAAATAGGCCATATAATAAATTTTTGTTTTATATATTTATAAGAAATTTTCTCCTTCCTCAACTTGTGCCTTCGTGATGTAATTGAAAGCGCAAGTGGCTACAAATCGAGAGGTTCGATGTTCAAGTTTCGGCATGGCAGCTCTAATTTCTCATCGTTTTTGGTCCGAAATATACCCAGTGACGCCCGAAATAAAATGGGGGTGGGGGGACGATAATTCTTCATCACCTGAATTTGGCAACTGGATCCCCTCTTTTCTAGTAACCTTTCAAATGTGTGAGATTATAAGGAATTCTTCCCTTCCTTACCGCGTGCCTTCGTGGTGTATTTGCAAGCACGTTAGGCTGGCAATCCAGAGATCCGATGTTGTAGTTCTTGCTAATTTCTTATGTTTCTTTCTCGGTAAGTAATAAATCTAATGATTCCAAAAATTCTATCATTATTTTAAGTTTTCATTATCTGATGTGATAAATCGCTGAAAGATAGGATTAGGTTATTTAAATATGGCAAAGCATACGAGGGCTATCTGCCTAAAGGAAGGGATGCCTGTGTGGAAGTTTTTTTAAGAGAAATTTCCCCGTATTCACGTTACACATAACGAAAACGAGGAAAATAAATAGTGTAGCATTTGCTGGGAATGAACCCAAGTCGAACTCCCAGTATTCAGCGGTCTTAAACACTCAGATACTCGTGGCCAAACCACTTGAGAAATAAATTTGGCAAGGGTAATAAATTTTTCAAAAAATTTTATTATGGGTGACAAAAAAAAAAGAATATCAGAACTTAAATGAGCACAGATTTTGCTTCAATTATTCATCTTAGCTTAAAGGTTGAATTATAATATGCATGCGTGCCTAGTTCTGTCTTTGAAACTAATGTGACTTACTTATTTTCAAATGGGGATCTGAAATTTTCTTAACTGAACTGAGCTTGCGATATATTACAATCTGTTAAGGAATAAACAATCTTCTTTTAAAGGATAAAAATTTCCTACTGGAATATGTATTAATGAAAAATATTTTTTATACTTGTTACCAGTTTGATAATACGGAGAAAATTATATTTACAAACAATTAAAATATATGCAAATTCTAAATTTAATAAAGACATTGTTAAACTATACCATCAATAAATCAATTCAAATAATGCACCACGAAATTTTCATTTATAGTCATAAAGTATAAACTTCTACTCATCTTTCTTTTACAAAATGCCGTAATAAAAAAACTTGTTTTGGATAACTAATATTTGAACTTTAGACGTTGAACGACTGATGTCAAATTCGTATTGAAAGTTTTAAAACAGATTTTTAAATTTCTAATGATGTGTAACTTCTATGGTACCTAGAGATAATAAATGACCATTTCAAATAATAACCATTTTAGAGAACGTGATTTCTTTACTTATTTCTTAGAAAATAACTCAAAAATTAATAATTAAATAACTGTTTCCTCATCTTTGAGTTTGAAAATCCTATTAGGATAAAATAACTGAAGAAAATCGAATTTAAAATGTTTATAATAGTGTTCTAGTGATATTACACTATGTGTCTGAGAATTCTAAATTTTCTTTCCTTGGCGCAGATATATTAATAGAGTTTCTCAAGAAATATGCAATGTGAAAATGCAGAATATGCGCTTACCAAATATGCGATGTAATACATTGAAAATTTAGAAATTACATTATGAAGATTTTGGGAATTAAATGGTACCAGATAGCAGCCTATGTAATTTGTTACCTGTATCTCTCGGGATACCCATACTCACCAGATAAATAGACTTCTCGTTTTGCGCCTGGTTTGACATCTATTAAATCAAAATCTTGAAGGCCAATATTTTTGCTTACTGACATGAAATCAGGCTTTCTACTATCCCAGTCAAGCTCAATATGACTTCTTTGGTATCCATCTGTAAAAAGCATACTTATTAATTAAAATAATTATACTTACGAAATGGGACACAAATTAGAAAAACGAAGAATATTATTTTTTTTTTTTTTTTTTTTTTTTTTTTTTTTTTTTTTTTTTTTTTTTTTTTTTTTTTTTTTTACATTTGAGTAAATTGTTGATTTTCAGAATTGCATATAAATTTTATTGCGCACTTTCTAGGTAAAATAGTTCAATGAAATCAATACTCCTTTTCAATAAAGTATGAAAAAATAACTCACAACTTTCAATGTTAAATGTACACTTCTGAGTATCGTGAGGGTATTTTCTGAAATCCATCGGACAGCTAAATGTGATGCTTAATCTGCAAAATTACCATAAAGAAACTGAATGTGATTATGTTAATAATGCAATCATAATAATATAAAAGATATAATTTACTGGAATAACAGTAAAAGTCACTGGCGATATTTCTTTTATAATCATTAGTTCAGTAGTATAGGTTAAATGAAATATCTCCTGATGATATTAGGAAAAACTCGGATATCTGATGCTGGATGTAGCCACTATATTAGAACTCTCTTTGATTTACTGAAACAGAAATACTACTATCAACATTTATGAATTTATTGTGTCATAAATAGTTGAAAATTATAGTGAATCTACCCAGTAATAACATATAGCTGAATTTGTATATCTAAATTATGTTTCAATAAATCAGTCTGAACAATAACGGCTTTTTAAGGATAATTATTTGAAGTATTAGTCATAGCTTACTTTATCTCACTTAAATACCTGGAATAAATATGGGTATTAAAACTCAGACGTTTATATGTTTTACTCTGCATCTGCGTAATAAAATATTTATTAAACATCTTTTCTGTCATTGCATGTTGTATGATTTCCCTTAGTTCAATTAACCAGTTGTTCAAAATTTTTTTATCTTTTCTGAACTCCTCAACTTTTCCTCGCGTTTCCTCACCAAGATGCTAATTTAAAGTTAAGTGAAGTGACTGTTTAAACGGGTGAATCTTGAAGTTTATTCAGGGCTTGTTTTCGCTAACCAGCTCACATTACGAATATGTCCTTGCTGTTAAGCGGAGTTGCTGATATGCCTTTTTGGTCATTTAAATAATTATCACGTCGGATAGGTTGTCGAGTCAACCTTGTTAGCCTTAACCAGTGGCGGCTCGTAATAAGCACTGTGGAACTGCAGCACCCCCTATTTCCACTTATTATTATTTTTAATATTTAATATATGTGCCCTTTATCTTTATTTTCTTTACTTTTACAATACATAAGCCTTAAGCTTAATGTGTGGATCCCCCCACTTGTGAAAAGGTACGAAGTCTTTGTTTGGATGCGCGCTTCACGTTCCAGCGTCGTGGTGTTGGCTGTTCTGCGCATGCGCACACAGAACCACACGCGAGCCGGATAGAGAGAAGAGCACTGTCGCTCTTGCAGTGCCGAATTCTGAATGTTGCTGAAAACGGGATTTCTTTTTTTACTCCCGCGTGTGGTATCCTCCAAAAGGTGAACTCATCATACGACCATAAACAGGTCATGAAATGGCAACTTTTAAAAATGTCTACTGAAATTCATCAACATCAATCAGATCAAACTATTGCAAAAACAACAAGAATTTAAAACTATCTAAATGATGATAATTTCAAGTTTTGTAGATATTTTTATCAATCCTTATGTTGAATAATACAAAACTAAATGCAATCCAGAGAATTAGTGTGTTTACATTTTTCAAACTCTATTTTAGAATTAAAAACTCAAATACTGTAAGAATTTTTCAAAGACCTGATGGCGAAGTAAGGAATATGTGACGTTTATCATGTATGATAAATGCACAGATTTCTCCACTAAACACTTCGCTCTGCTAAATTGTTTAACAAGAATGCTTAGTTTTAGGAAGCCATTCTACAGAGAAATATACTGACTCTAAGCATATCCATGATTGGCAAGAAAGCTTGAAACTGAACAAAGTATTCTATGTAGTCTGCTATACATGAATACTGCAAATTAATTAGCTAATGAAATTTATCTTCGAAGTAATCTAGATGATGTTCTTGGTGAAAATTACGAAACTGATAAAAATTCTCTTGAGAGTTCCCGTGACTACATCAGGGCAGAACGCCTGCTTTTCAAATTGAAAAATAATGAAACTTTTCTCTAAAATGCACTAGGAATTACTAGGAAAGACTAAATGCGCTTGCATGCTTTCAATAAGAAAAATTTCCTCAGTTGTCCTCCAGAGATCAAGGAGAAAAATTTTGATCTTTCGCGGAAATTAAAACAAGAGGAATGGATTTCATTTTTAAATGACTAGACAAAGATTGAACTGTAATAATTTTGGTTAAAGTAATTAAGAAATGTTTAATTTTTTTCTTGTAAGATTTAAAGAAGTTTCAAAATAAATTTTCTTTTTATACATGTTTGTTTCCTTTTACATAATTTTAAAACAAATGTTAAATTTATTTGGAACAGTACCCCCACTAATTTTAGCCACGAGCCGCCACTGGCCTTAACTTAAAGTGCTAGTCCAGCACTACTCTTTACCTTTCTACCTTTCCTACTGTCTAATGTTTACCTTTCTACTGTCAAACTTCAAACCTCTTCTTCACTTTCAAAGGATGACAATTTCTTATAATTTCTATGTTTCTTATCGTTATTAAGTAAATCATGAGTGCAAACATTCTAAAATGGCATTTTATTTCGATAACAGGTACTTTCTCACAGACAGTTGTGTGTTGTGCTTTCCACCATTATGTTCAGGTTTAAATTTAGAAGTTTTTATTGAAATCAATATGAAACAGGATTATTTACAAGAAGCTTAATAATACATGTGTGAAAACTTTATTACAAATTAAATATTTATATGCAATATGTTTATTTCATTTAAAGAAATATTAAAGTATTATAAGAAAAAATGATAATAAAATTTAAACTTTTTTTAACAAATGACTCAATTTCATTTTGAAGATCATTACAGAATCTTTCTCATTTTCAATGTTTCTAATCCAAAACCATGCGCTTGGTAAGTATCATATACAGCAAGAAATTTTTGTTATTGGAACTGCTTATTTTTACTGAGTATTTCTGACTGTTAATATATTTTAAAAAAATTCGGTTAATCGAATAACATGCTGGATGTTTTTATGTTGGTTATTTTTGTATTACAAACAGGTTGTTGCATTAAATGGCTTTAAACGTGTACGTTGCGAGCATTAAAAATTCGTTCTCGCTATACAATGAATTATTTAATCAATCAACGTAAAAAAGTTTAGCTTCTACTAAAAGGGAAAAATTGAATCAATAGAGAACAAATAAATTTCATTACTATGAAACAAAAGAATCCGAATATATGCATGTTTTCGAGATGCTTCCAAGATTCTTACTCCTCATTATAGTTGCCACAAATGCACTGGCCAATAGTCGAATCCAGGATAACTTCCCGGAGAGCAGGTGCTTGTTCTAGCTGAGCAATTCATACTCAGTAATTGTCCTCAGATACTGAGTAGTTCTAAACTCAGTAATTGTCATCAAGTAAATTTTACTGAGCGATCTCGAATGATTTCTCCCTTGATTCTTGGATTACATTTGTTAGATCATATCAAACAACACTGCGCTTTGACCTTGGATTTCATTAAATGAGTGGCTCAGATCTGGTGCTTTGTAAGCTCCCACCTTGCGGTGTTCATTTCGATTTCAAGAAAGATCGAGTTTTCGTTAAAGGAAATTGCCCACGAACGCGTTTTTCGAAATAGAGGGAACCCTTCTACTTGGATTTCTAGCAAATAAAAGACTGATTTTTAATGACCATCTATTTTCTCATATTCAGATTTAGATTTGAAAGCATGAGATTCCTTGCCAATCCAAATTCATTTAAAGATTAAATGACAAAATATGTAGGATTGATAACTAGTAAAGAAGATTACTACAACTCAGTATCTTTCATTTATGTAATCTGCATCCTATTCTTAGTGACTATTTATATTTATTCTTCATTCAAAAGCAGGAGTGGTCTTCAGCTCAAATTACTATTATCAGTTCTAATTACTGTATTCAAATTAAGACCTTTTTCCTAAAACAGCTCAACAGTCAAAGATGTATTAACCACAATTCCTGAATTTTAATGCTTAGGTCATCACTTAAATTTAATACACAGAATGATTTTCTGTTTGTTTGGTTTATCTCTTTTGGAAAAGCGAGGTGTGATTATGTGCGGCGTATTTCAAAATTATTCAGAATTGTTTATTTCATCAAGGGATATTTTTATACATTACTTTTACTGAATTCATTAAAAAGAAAATTACTAAAGTAAAACATTTAAAATCATACCTTACACTGCACAGAACTTCACCATTCGGTTTTATACGAACAAATACGTTTGGACTAACTACGTTATGCATTATGCCCTCTTTTTCTTCAACAAAAAATAAATCAGGTTTCCAGATTTTTTCCACATCTCTCATATTTATGAAACTTAAATCTTGGTCTGAGAACTGTAGTCGTGAATCATTCCAAGATTGTCGAAAATAAAACTGAGCTCTGTAATCCTAAAAATAAAACAGTTTATTGTAACGACGAATGAACTGATCAATTAAGTTACACATAATCATATATATGTTACCGGCAATGTATGAAACATAGAATACCTATGCATTTTATATAATGCCGGATGATTTTAGGCAAAGTAGGAAATTTGAGAAATATTATATACTGTACCTAGGCTAAGAGTCAGGCACATGGAAAGTATACTGCGTTAAATTATGTTTGGGCGCTAGGATTATTTTAATCATCTTTTAATCTCTCTCTTTATTTATTTATTTATTTTATTTATTATTATTTTTTTTAGTTTACTATGTGCAATAATTTAATAGGTTACAACTTTCCTCCATGCAGGACCAACGATTTCACAGAAGCCCATAAATATATGACAGTTGTGTCAGGATAAGCACCCGCATGTGAATTTAGCAAGTCCAGAAAATCCACGGCAGTTAATTTTTCAGGCAGAGTCCTCCTATTTACTTTATCTAACACAAGTTTCTTCTATTCTAACAGCGATTCTTACAGTCTTTTGATTGCTTCTTTGCTTAATTTTAAGTAGTTCCTAACAGGATACTCTTTCCCCTACAACATCCAAGCTTATATGTAGACTTTATGAGGTTCTTAGCCGCTATTGGCTGCGTTCCCGGAGCAGGATGGAGCAGAGAGTACATGGTTTCTGCCAGGAAGATAACACACTGTGAGGCTAAGGCCAGGTCAGTGGTCTTCCTTGGTGGCGCTCACTCACTCACTGTACCTAGACATTCTATAGAATGCCAGATGCTCTTTGGGTAAAGTATGAAAAAACGTCTTGATAGGGCTAGTACTTGTATTTAAAGGACGCTCATTCCTTACAAAATACAAATGTTATTTTGAAGAAAACAATGAAACACTGTTATTAGAATTTTTTTCAAAATACGTAAAAATATTAGTGAGATGATCTTGGTACACAATAATAAATTTGTGTTCTCTATCTGGCTGACACTGAAAATCAAAAAGATCTACCTGAAAACGACAATTAAATTCAGAAAATATTATAGGTTTCACAACAGTACCTTTTTGGTTTTTCTATCAGGGCTCACAAAGATGTGTGTCAATATCATGAAGTATATTTGGTTTTGAAAGTCCTTTCAACATTATGTCCTCCGTGTCAAATAGACAAATGAATTTCATGCATTATGGGAAATAACTCACTCTCTGTGAAGTAATACTGTGTAGTACTGACGCCTTCTTTAACAGGATAAATGAGTTTAATTTTGTTTTCCACGAGCATCGCATCAAAGCGATTCAGCAACCAAACGTCCCATGATCCCTTCTTAGCAGTCATTTTTAACATTTTTAGCATCACTTATTCACTTTTGGTAAGAAATGTCGGTTCAGTTTCGGTATTAACGTAAGTTTCAGTTATTCGAAACGAATCGGAGGTGTATTTCATACTTTGTCGGTTTGTCATTTGGTATTCTATAGAATGCCTAGACAATGTGCGAAATGTTCAAACGTTTCATACATTGCCGTTCAGTTTTCTGTAATCTATAGAATACCTAGGTACTCTATAGAATGTCGGATTTCATACTTTGCAAATAACATATACAAGTAAATTTTCTTAATAACAAATAATTCTTTTTCTACAATACACAGAACTGCAGAAATAATACATACTACGTATTTTTTTATCATATACTATTTTGCCAGTTTTTGGCAAAACATGACTTTGCGAGTAGTTCTGTGCCAGAAAAAGTTTCCAAACAAATAAATAGACAAAGATACTGCATTGAATGTGGGATTTTTAAAAACCGTCTTTTACACGAAATCAAAGCAACTAAGTTGTTTTTATGAGTATAAATTCTACTCAACATGGCGTGCTGTGGGAAAACAATAAATCAGCCTGGATAGCATCTGAAATAGTTATAAAAATCACTGACTGAATTTGACGTTTTTTCATTTGTCGTTATGATAGAAATGCATCCCATAAAAGCACGATTAAGGGGAACATTTTTTAATATTTTTTCTTTTTAAACACTAAATCAACATTCCAGTCCTTTTATTAAGAAACAGTTCAGTCATTTAAGACTACTTAAGGAAATGTTTTTACCAAACATTTCTCTCTAGTTGGACATCCAGAAATCTGTTAATGGATTCCCGGCGATTTTAAATGTATACAAATTATGTCAGAAGTTGGAAAAGTGTTAGCTAAAAGCTCTGTTCAAAGGTGATTTCAGAAAGAGGGATTTTTTAAAATTAATTTAATACAGATCAGTGATAATGATGTTAATAAAGGTACCTCTTGTATAAACAGTCTTTTGTAAAATAGTAAACGTATCTCTTGTACAATATTTATTTACTTTAATCGGCATTAAAATTGAAGAGTACATTGCAATTAATGAAAATTTGTATGAGGAATAATTAAATCTGTAAATGAAAATTTTATGAGTAAAAATTAACATACTAGAAAAAATTCTGGGAATAGAGAACCATGGGAGAAGCAAGGTACTAATAGGAAAGACGCTCTTTGAAATATGCTAAAGCACTTAACATTCATTCAGTTTCTGAATTTATAAATCTTGCTTACAGTGCTTAAGTTTGTTAAAAGAGTGAAAATAGTTACTTTTCATTCGATCTGCGTATTTTCATTTTATTTATTGGCTTTCAAAATTATTCCCTTCTAATTAATCAATCAATTATGTATAATTATTATGTATATTTTTGCATTCTTATCAGAGGAGTTTTAATATGTGCATGCAAAACAATTAAACATAATAATACGTAATAAATAATACTGCTAGTGAACTTTGTACTTGAATTCCGGAAATAAGTCAGCGTGGCATTTAAATTGATAAATTGCCAACCCACACAGTTTAATTAATAATATACTTATTAACAAGCTAAATATATTTCCTTTAGTGTTTTCTGTATCTCCAAAACATACTGAGCCAGAAAACTGTTAAGTAGTTCCAAAACTGACATAAATGCTTCTGATCTTGTCAGAATTAAAGGGGTAGTAATTTCAAATAAGCAAGCAGGCGTGCTTCTCATAAAAAATGTAATAATACAATCTAAATAAATTTTAAATTTCTTAGTAATAACACTGAAGAACGCATTTGTCATTTTCTTATAATATTTAATACATTACTTGAATTCCAAAATAGCACGAGATGGCAAAGTAATTTAAAAATCAAATACTGAATTGTGCTCACCTTTGAAGCAATAAAGCAAATGAAACTTTTCTATATGCATTAAGGTATATCCGTCTCACTTTAATTAATGTTTGAAATATCAGTTTTTCATCCTCCTTACTAATTTAAGTTTGAAAAGTGCTTGTGTATTAGAAAGCGAGACACAGTCGCATTATTAGAAACTGGAAAATTGATTAAATACTTCATTTGTTTTTAATTTTTGAGGCAGATATCAAAATGATTTTCACTATTTGGAACTGGAAAGTTGATTAAATATTCCACTATAATCTTTCGTAAATTTCTGATATTTAAATCATAGTCGTTTTCATTATTTCATTTATTTGCTTATTTGTTTGTTTATTTTTATTTTTAAAAATTTCTTTGCGTTATATTTTTGTAAAACCTTTAATATTGGAAAATGCTAGAATTTTTCTGCTTATGATGACATGCTATTCTTTCGTCAAGATAACAAAATGGTCAACAAGGGAATAAAAATATTTTACAATTCTGAACTTTTTATTATAAGTATTATTTTTATAAGTAACCGAAGTTTGAGCCTACGTAAGCAGTATAGTGCAATTCCTTCATGTTGATATACTGCAAAGGAACTTAAGTCTACTATTTTTTTTAACTTATTCAGTCCTTTATGTTCTACGTAATTCATTTCTAAAGCTATTCATTTTTTTAAACATCGCTATACATCATATCCGTAACATAGTTTTCTATACATTATGTTTTTACTCGTGTGACTAGGTTAAGAAAATAGAGCGTAGAAAATCGTATAAAGTTTCGCCTAGTCAAAATGGTTTCCACGTGAATTTTTTTTTATCCCTGAATTAAACATCCATCTCAAACAAAGGAGATATTAGATAAATTTATGCTATTTGTGTCAAACTTGGTTTACGTAACCTTTCGGAACTTGCACTCCTAAAAAATTCTTCAATAAATTATCTAAGCATTTAACATTAATATTCTCTCATACATGATGCAAAAACGGACTTAAGTCCCATCCTTGACAATGTGTTTTATAAATTTATCCATTATCGAAATATTGTACGAAATTTTTATCTATATCATGCAACATTTTATTGAAATTAAAACTCTTTCTGTAAAAGATTAACCTACTTTATGTACAACTAAATCAGTTAACTGTTATGAAAAAGTACTAAGTTCTTACATATATTTAATGTAATGAAGTATAATTCACAGTTTTTTGCTAAGCTGAAAAACTTGACAATTTTTCCATATTTACTATACATGAATAAACAAAGGTCAGGTTAATTTCGGAATACATTTCGAAGAGGTACAATAGAAATCCTCGACATAAAAAAAAGCATCCTCTTCGGTAGTTTAGATTATTTTAATTGAGAGTTTTAATAGCAAATTTGAAATAAACGATTTCAGAAACGCGTTTATAAAGTATATATATATTTCTGTTTCAAATCTCTATCCTTCAATAATTTTGTTTCCTGATGTTCAAAGGATTGTCACAAGAATTAAGATTTATTCTCCACTCATTAAAATAAGATGGGAAAAATTAATCCGGAAGCAATTATATACTACTTTTATATAACTATCTTAATAAAAGACTTATCTTGCATCTGCTGAAAATATGCAAGGGCAAAAATTCTTATTTTCATATTTAAGATTTTGCCTACTCTTAGATAAAGGATAATAAATAAATATGATTTTTAATCAACTTGTGCATGCAAACAGGCACATGGAAAAGTGAAGAGAGAATCAGAACTGCGTCGGTAATTTTACGGGTATTGCCTAGCCGTACTACTGTACCTACTAGACGCACAGTCGACCAGAACTACAAGCCGTCCCAACAAGATTTTTCACATATATTC